TATTGAATGCAGTCAAGAACATAAAACATTAAATGGTTGTTTTCAGCCTGGCCTTTGGGAATCGAAGATCTTGATGTGATACCAATGTTTGAGCTATTCAGATGCGCAGTACCAAGCTTCCAAAGCGTACCTCATCCCACCTTTGTCAGTTTATTGACCTTAGCGAGAAAGTATAGAGGCAGGTTTCCGGTGAGCATGTTGCAAGTTTTTGGGAAGAAAAGCAGAGGGAAAGAACTGTTGGTTTGTTCTAACAAATTCTCACTTCAACGTCATTTTTCGTGGCTACACACCATGTAAATATGCTGTCCCCAAGAAAGTCTGCCTCAAAGCTTGCAGCACGCTATGCGCTGAAAACCCGAATGTGCATCTTCAACATTTCACTTTAGACCGTTTGAGAGCTAATAGGTGTTAAGAAGCCACCAAAATCGGGTGAAGATGCGATATGAGAGATTCAGAAGGATGTACTTGAAATCTTTCAAATATAAGAGTTACCGTATCTTTTCGTGATTCAGTTCTCCGAGAGGGACCTACAGGAGACTCAAGGTCTCCGATTGGCAAATAGAAGTAGTAAACACCTTTCCTTCCCATAATTTCGCTTTCCTTTCAGGCGCACTCTCTTATACAATCTTTCGCTCAATAGACAACCCAGCTCGCAGTCTAAAAGATTTCCTCTTAAAAGAATTCCTCCCTTTCTTGTTAAAAATTCGAGTCACCTTTTATGATAACCCCTTCTATGCAGCACAGGTGGTATATGATTTTTTGCCTAACTTTCGACAGTAATGCCGTTCCCAGAGGCCCGAGAGAAAGTAATTCATTGAGCTCATCATTTCATGCTCGTATCCCAAACTTGTGCATTCGTTGGAGCTCATGTCGCCAAGTCTGAAGGTTGTTTTATCACTTTTTTGAGAAAGAAAACGTGCTCCGAACAGATGACGCAGCTATGTCCTTTTGCGCCCATTTCCACAGCTTAAAAAAGGGCTTTCGTAATTTTCTAGCATTGCAATCAATCTGAGGCTCAACCGGAGATTGAGCTGGACCTGGTTAACAAAACGGATTATATATTCAGGTGAAAGGTG